CCGGATAGGAAATCGATTGACCACCAGATCACTTCCGTTTAAGCAATTTCTTTATTTCTTAAATTACAGAAACAACTATTTACACCGCTTTCTTGGCCCTTGTTACGCACTAACAAAACTTTCGCTTTCTTGCCCGGTGGTTAATAGCGCTCTTTACTATTTTTCGAATAAATTTACAAGTCGTTATTTTATGAATATTACGACTCGGGAATTATCGCGACTGGTACCCCGATTCCCGTTCCACGGTTCTTTTCCTTCGCTTTCGCTACTCTCGGCTGTCCTGCGACGACTTCCTCTTCCTTGCGTCGGGCCTGGCCTTTTATCCTTAGGCTTCCCCACTCCAGCCATTTTCTCGTTTTTTCGAGTGTTTGCCCGTATTAGAACCTTCTGGATTTCCCCGGAGATCTTTGTTGTTGTTTTTCTTCGTATTTCGTTCGCCTTCCAGAATTTTCGGGCAGGTTCTTGTTTTGTCGTGGTGCCGATAATAATAATAATCACCGAATTTATGTACTGGTGTGGAGCCTTCGCGAAGCGCCTAGTGATTGTAATTCCTATCATTCCTCCTTACATAATAGTAATGATAATAATGATAACAAGAATAATCATAATAATGATAATAATAATAATAATAATCATCATAGTCATAATAATAGTAATGATGATGATGGTAATAATGCTAATAATAATAATAATAACACTAACACTCATAATAATAATAATAACAATAATAATGATAATAATAATAATAATAATCATCATAGTCATAATAATAGTAATGATGATGATGGTAATAATGCTAATAATAATAATAATAACACTAACACTCATAATAATAATAATAACAATAATAATGATAATAATAATAATAATAATCATCATAGTCATAATAATAGTAATGATGATGATGGTAATAATGCTAATAATAATAATAATAACACTAACACTCATAATAATAATAATAACAATAATAATGATAATAATAATAATGCTAATAACACTCGTGACCATATTTGAACGACCTACTCTCTTAATTATTTACCAACAAACCTCGTTACGTGTATAGTCATAATAACGTTTGTTATGCGCATATTTTTATTTATTGCAAAATAAACAATATTTATTATAATAAAAATACTAATAATAACCATAAATTCCATCACCTAAATTTCTTTATCCCACCACCATATTTATTTATTTATTATTTGTTGTCCTTTGTTTTCTTTCTCTCAGTCCTCTTTATTTTCCCACCATGGATCATAATGATCGATGGTGGTACATTCGGAGGTTCCCTCTGGCTGCACACTATGCTCCCTAATGTACGCCATTATGGCTTCTAGTTGCGCCTGCGCCTGCATTGCCTCTCGATCGCCGTTCTCCTGTTGCTCGCTCATGTCGCTGCTGTCGGCGTCCGACCTTAAGGCGCGTCTCTGCAACTCCTGGATCTCCTGTAACAATTCGATCTGCTCCCTATTCGCCGTCGGTCGCACTGCGACCTGCGTCTGCGTTTTATGTAGATAGACCTTAATACCTACAATCTAGACTCTTGCGCCGCCGTGTTAAGGCCATTCTACATAAGACGCAGACGCAGGTCGCAGGCCGCTGCTCTCGAGGAATTGACCAATCACGTAAGTCGATTAGCTGATTTGACAAACGTGAATGGTCAATTCCGCGAGATCAGCGTCCTGCGACCTGCGTCTGCGTCTTATGTAGAATGACCTTTACGCCGCCGCCGCCGCCACACTAACCCTGTGTTCCAGAATTGTTGCCAGTGCTAAAATTGTATAATATATGTGACGTAAACTATAGGTCTTTAGCGCTGGCAGTAAATTTTGGAACACAGCCTAATTTACCTCAAACGCCGCCGCCGATATAAAATAAAACGGCGCACGGGTCTAGTTGCGAACAACCAATTGCTACTATTTAGTTAGTACGGCGCTCGTTGGCCCTACGAGCAACCGCCCCGCTTGCCCTCCGATCCCCGCGCCTACTCCGCGAATTTTTGACGCCGTCTGTATGTTTGATGTAAACGTACCCGTACTAAAAGCTTTGGTACGCACCAAACTTAATACGCGTATCAAGTTTTGACGATGTAAACTAAGGGCGATGTCCCATTGAGCGGAAATCTATAGCGGAACGGAATGTGCGGAACCAGCTCGACCAATCGTAACCATAGAAAAAGCGAAGGAAAGAAAACGGAATGGCTATGATTGGTCGAGCTGGTTCCGCACATTCCGTTCCGCTATATATTTCCGCTCAATGGGACATCGCCCTAAGCCTATGTTTGAGCCATATGTGCAATGTGCATCAAACCAAACCTGTATTGTATTGTTTAGAATAGCGTATGGACTAGCTACAAAGGTCCACGAGTCATAAGGACATCAAACTAAACCTGTATTATATTGTTTAAAGTGGGAAACAGATTTATCTACTTTTGGCAAATTCAAAATTTATATATCTTTCCCAATTATGTGTGCATAAAAATTGGGTGATCTCGTCTTTTGTACACACTGTTGCTTATTGTATTTTTTATACCAGTGTATTCTTCTGTTTAAAAAAAATTTTTCAAGAAGTTGTGTAATCTACAGCAGACAAGAACTTGCCTATATATTTATATCAAGATGAGTAAATATAGGCGTGAAGAAACCTCAAGTGAGGACAGTAACAGTGAAGAGGAACGTCGCAAAAAAGATATTAAAGAGAGAGATAGTTTTGCTAGTCGTCTCAGAGCTAAAGATGAAAGCAAGGTACGCAAAGTTGCAATGCCTGCAGGCTCTGGAGCTGGTAAGTTTAACATACACACAAAGACAATAAGTATATATATAATAATTATATATGTAATATCTAGTTTATTTAAATAGCCCTATATAGAAAAGAATTAATTAAGTATAATTTTGTACACATTTTTATCTGAAAATCAATTAAAATATATATTTATCTAAATATCTTTATGACTTTGTATCTGACCAATATTTCTGTAAAAACTTTAACAATATAAGAAAAAGAAATAGTCTGGTATTTTTAACTTATTTAGTATTTATATATATATAATTTACCTTATATCTAATGTAATACATTTAACTTAAAATAATCTTTCTTATAGCTGAAGCAGCAAAGAGACTCAAGATTATGGAAACAGATGCTAGGGAAAAATTGGTACCTAAACTTCGTGTTGAATCTCGTCGCAAATATCTTGAGAAAAGAAAAGAAGATAAAGTGATGGAATTAGAAGCAGACATATTAGATGACGAATTTTTATTTGACGAAGAAATGTAAGTTATAGTTTATAGAAAAACATTTTTAAAGATGTGATAACAATAATTATTTATTCAATAATTATAATGGTTTCATAGTTTAACAGAAAAAGAAAAACGAGAAAGAATGCACAAAAAACAGTTATTACATTTAGCAAAAGAACACGAAAAAGCAAGAGAACTTGAACGCATTCAACGGTATCATATGCCTCTTGAGAAAGGCAAAGTAGAATCAGAAATTGATATTACAGATAAAGAACCACCACAATCTGAACAAAGCAAGTGGGAATCAGAACAGATGTCATCAGCTGTATTTCGATTTGGCGCTAAAGATAGAAAAGGTATGTGTCAAATTAAAAGTGACTAAGTGTTTATTTAACCTTTTCATTTTTAATGTCAATTTAATCGGCATCTATGTAATGAGCCATTAATCTTAGCGCCAAATTTAGTCAGCTCTCATTTTACACCAATTAGACTTTTAATTAACATTTAAACAATTATTTTATAAGATTACACATTTCATTTTATGTGTAAAATGGGCACTTGCGACTACTGACTTCTTTGTACAAAGAAAGCACATATATGCCGGAATGGAAAGGTTAATTAATCTGTAATGTTTCTTTTAATTTAATTTCATAATTCTCTATTATAGCTCAACAAGAATATGATCTACTTATGGGAGATGAAATAGAATTTGTTCAAGCTTTACGTATGCCTGGACATGATAAAGATAAAAAACGTGAAGAAAGTCCACCTGCTCATGTTAAAACCTTGCAAACAATACAGGAGACAAAAAAGAGCTTGCCAATATATCCCTTTAGAAACGATCTTATCCAAGCTATAAAAGGTCATCAGGTAAATATGAATTTGATGGTAAAATGCTAGTTAAGAAACAATATAGTAGAATACAACAGACACAGCACAGTTGAATATTAGATTTTGATTATTGAAGGTGAGACAGGATCAGGAAAAACAACACAAATACCCCAATACTTATATGAAGCTGGATTTACAAAAGACGGCAAAATTATCGGTTGCACGGAACCGCGAAGAGTAGCGGCGATGTCAGTGGCTGCGAGAGTAGCTCACGAAATGGCTGTAAAACTAGGTAACGAAGTTGGCTATGCTATTCGTTTTGAAGACTGCACATCGCATCGTACCCGTATCAAGTATATGACCGACGGTACCTTGCACCGAGAGTTTTTAAGCGAACCTGATTTGGCATCATACAGGTATATTGAAATAAATAAATTGTAGTGATGCACCATAATCTTACAAATATAATTTTTTTTTATATTTTCTACATTTTAGCGTGATGATAATCGATGAAGCACACGAGCGGACTTTACACACCGATATATTATTCGGACTGGTGAAAGATATTGCGAGATTTCGTCCTGACTTGAAATTGCTGATATCATCAGCTACACTAGATGCAACAAAATTCAGTGAATTCTTTGATGACGCGCCAATCTTTAGAATACCTGGTCGTCGTTTTCCAGTTGATATTTATTACACCAAAGCTCCGGAAGCAGATTACATTGATGCGTGCGTAGTTTCTATTCTCCAAATTCATGCCACGCAGCCACCAGGCGATATATTGGTATTTTTGACTGGTAAATATATTAAGAGAATCTCGATTTTGTGTCGAAGAATATTATTTTGTTTAATGAAATATTTTCTCGCGTAGGACAAGAAGAGATCGAGACGTGCCAGGAAATGCTACAGGAAAGAGTCAGAAGACTGGGAAGCGATTTAAAAGAACTTTTAATTTTACCAGTGTACGCGAATTTACCTAGCGATATGCAAGCAAAGATATTCCAACCAACTCCATCTGGAGCAAGAAAAGTACTCTTTGAAAAATATATGATCTTTACACAAGCTTTTGTCGAAAATTGAAATGTAAAAGTTGAATTTTTGTATATTTTCAAGGTTATACTTGCAACCAATATAGCTGAAACATCCTTGACCATAGATAACATAATCTACGTGATAGATCCTGGCTTTGCAAAGCAGAATAATTTTAATTCACGCACCGGCATGGAAAGTTTGATGGTTGTACCGATCAGTAAAGCTTCCGCGAATCAAAGAGCGGGACGTGCGGGAAGAATAGCACCTGGAAAGTGTTTTCGTTTGTATACAGCTTGGGCTTATCAGCATGAACTTGAAGATAATACTGTCCCGGAAATACAAAGAATTAATCTTGGTAAAAAAATAAAAAAACTTTTGTTATATACACAGAAATTTATAGTTACCTTGTTGCATAGTTAAGTAGACACAATAGTAATGAATATTATTGATATTTGCAGGTAATGCAGTGCTGACTTTGAAAGCTCTTGGCATTAACGATTTGGTACATTTTGATTTTTTGGATCCTCCGCCACATGAAACGTTAGTTCTAGCACTGGAACAACTCTATGCGTTAGGTGCATTGAATCATTGCGGAGAGCTGACCAAGCTCGGTCGTAGAATGGCCGAGTTTCCGTTGGATCCAATGATGGCAAAGATGCTGTTGGCCAGCGAAAGATATCGCTGTTCAGAAGAAGTAGCAACCATCGCTGCCATGCTATCAGTTAATGGAGCAATCTTTTATCGACCAAAGGATAAAATTGTATACGCTGATGCTGCGCGTAAAAAATTTCATGTTCCGAGTGGCGATCATCTAACTCTTTTGAACGTGTACAATGAATGGGAGAAATATGAGTTTAATACACAGTGGTGTTACGAAAACTTTATACAACACAAGTATATAAACATTAATGATATTCAATCAAACTAATGAAGCATAAATATTAAAATTACATGTGTTATGATTTGTTTTCCAGATCCATGAAGCGTGCAAGAGATGTGAGAGAACAACTGGTAGGTTTAATGCAACGTGTAGAAATGGAATTGGTTTCTGTCAAAAGCACAGAGACAGTGAATATTAGAAAGGTTTGTTAAAATGTTGCAATAACCTGGTGTTAAGTGTTTTGTTTGCAAAAATAATCATAAATTGTTTGTTTGCTTAGGCTATTACAGCTGGTTATTTTTACCACGTAGCACGTTTGTCCAAGGGAGGTCACTATAAAACCGCGAAGCATAATCAACAAGTTGCAATACATCCAAATAGTTCTCTGTTTGAGGAGCTTCCGCGATGGGTTCTTTATCACGAGCTTGTCTTTACTACTAAAGAATTTATGCGTCAAGTACGTAAATATGAAAACTAGCGTAAATTTAGATTTATACTAGTTATAGATTTGGAAATTTTTAATCTTTTTTAATCTAAACCGTCTTTTTAATCTAAAATATTATCTGTGTAATTTAGAATTAAACATCCAAATATTTTACAGGTAACAGAAATAGAAAGTAAATGGCTGCTAGAAGTGGCACCTCATTATTATAAGCCAAAAGAACTTGAAGACTCTTCAAACAAAAAGATGCCGAAAATCGCCGGCAGATCACGACCGGACGGTACCAACTAAGAGTATTTTTATACTATTTTTTAGTTAATAAGTATGTAATAAATATTGTTTTCTGAATAAGTATACTTTGTAAGTGTAATATACACATTTTGTATTTTATATATGCACAGCGTATTACTTAAAATATTTATATTATGACTATTATTGTTAATTACATCATCTTTCCAATTAAAAAATGTCATTTGTTTGAAACACATTTTACATGATTGCTTTAAGTGAGGAAATTCTGTTCTAAAACGTTAAACGAGACATTCTCTTTGAAACTTTTTTTTTAAACAATAAAACGCGATATTGATGGTTTGGTTTGGTGCAAGTATGGCTCTTGGACCGTAAAGATTAGTCCACACGCCAGTCTGAGTACATATTGAACCCTGTGTTTCCGGAGCGCTGTTCGTATACTGGTTTTAAAGATTATTTGTAGATCACAGCGCGTATTGGAGACTAGGCTTGCTCCATACGCAACGGAGCATGGAGATAAAGAAGGGAGCATTAAGGGATATTATAGGCGCGGGAAGTGAAGCCATGGTGCGGGGGGGATTTGACCTCTAAACAACCTTCAGCCATATTTATATGAGCCACTAGTGCTGCTATCTATTTGATGAGAGTGGTATTATTTCAACACATTGAGAGTAGTATTATGTGACGTTGATGCGTATTAGTCTGTTAGTGACAGGAAGAAAGTGTACTTAAACCAGAAGAATTAATAAATAAAACTTGTATAATTGATCGTATGATCGATAATTATGAATTTGACACTGAAAAGTATATTAATCAAATTTCAGTTGAACACGATCATCCTTATATTGCAGCATTAATTTATAATATTATTAATTTAGATCAATATTCCATAGAAATCATAAGTTACATAGCTGGATCTATTGTAAGTCATTTAATTAAATACATCATGTGTGATATTTGTGTTAATGCCTTAAATGAAAATAGTAAATCAAAGAAAATTATACAAATAAAAGATCGTGGAAGTTTAACATATATCCTTCAGAAAGCGTGATAAAAATATGCCTTGAAACAGAAAAGATTATCAGATTTGCTATAAAAGAAAATAATATAATTTTTAGTTCAAAATATTCCGTTCTTTATATTACACAAACTGTACTTTTAACTTTAAATATGATTAATATATTTGAAGAATTGATAACTCATTCATATGATCAAAACTTTTTAACATGTCATAGAATAAATGTAATTAAAAGTATTATAATAAAATATGTACAGACAAGATTTTTTTCTATTGTAAAACAGAATAATAAGAATATTAATGTAAGCAAAAGACATTTTTATAATAAATTAATATTATTTGCAGGACAATAAATTATGTTTATAAGTTATTTTTTTCATTTACTTATTTATTTACCTATATTTATTAAATGTTATAAATATCTATAATATAATATCTATAATTAATATTTATTAAAGTTTGTTTTTTAAGTGAATATGTTTATTATAGCGATTTCGGCTGGNTTGCACCGATTGCACATTTCGGGTGTCGGTGCAAATTGTGTGTTCGGCTGGTCGAATGGCAGCAGTTTTTTGCTGGTTCCGCGTATTCGTCTGAGCTCAGTACACCGCATAGGTGCATGTTGGGTGCAGTGATGAAAGTTTTGGCAGGCTAGCACCAAGGGTGGGAGCCACTGGGAATACGCACACAAGCGAGACCGCCGTCCGTGTGCATGACGTCACACACACGGACGGCGGTCTCGCCTGTGTGCGTATTCCCAGTGGCTNCAGACCAGCCGAAATCGCTATTAGATTTCTTAAACTATCATTCTGGGCAGTATTTCATCAAAGTATTGTAAAGTTCTAACAGATGGCAGTACTAGAGGCTCATATAAACATGGCTGCATAGGCTTCACCTTTTTTCGACAACGCTCCCTCCTTTATCTCCATGCAACGGAGCCGGGAGCACACTGCATCGAGGGAGACAAGAGTTGGTAGGGAATTTTGTTGGATAGCAGAGAGGTTTTAAAGAGTTTTAGCGTGGCATGGATGTCTGAGGATTAAATGGAGATTTTTGTGCTAGTGACAAATTTGAAAAGAGCGTGCATAGTACGCAGGTCATTAAAAAAGGCAATATCGGTAATTTTCGTGGGTGGGCTAAACCCGCAATGATACAAGTCAATAATAAGCTTGACAGATTCATTTTTGTATTTCGGGCACTTAAAGAATACATGATCAATATCTTGGCGAGCATGGCCGCACTGACAGGAGGCGAAATCCAAAATATCCTTGTCAGCCAAATGCGCGTTGACCCTAGTATGGAAGGACCTGATACGAGATATTAGATTAACTAAAGGTCTAGGAAAGGGTTTTTTGAAGCACTCATACCAGGATAATCTTCCCCAGAGGTACTCTCTTGGCGTCAAAATACCTTTTATCTTTCAGTTCCGCCTCCTCAAGAAGGAGGGCACAGGAGTCACCCACCACGCCAGAGCGCAGCGTAGGGAACAAAGCCCTTACGCCACACCTCCCACTCGGACCGAGGACCGACTGACTAAGTGCCACCTTGGCATAGTGGACAGCTCTGTCGTTGCCACGGATTCCCTTATGGCCTGGAACTCACACAAACTTTACGCGAGCACCGCGAGATTGTAATCTATAGACAAGTTTCTTTATTTTATAAATAACCGGGGGATGGACACCCCGAAGATCAACCGACTCTAGACACCTGATCACACTGAGGGAATCGGTGGCAACAGCCACCCGACCTAAACCAAGCTCCTCCACTCGAGAGCGCAAAGGACTTCGGCAGCTTCCGCGTCAAATATAGATGACAGGTCGTGTACCCGCGCGTAATAAACTAGATCTGGGTCATAGGACACTACTGCATAACCGGCCCTAGGTGGAACGCCCCCTACCAAAGGTTGCAGCGATCCATCTGTGAAAAAAACACGGCTTATACTCTCTTTGTTTAAAAAGGTAGAAAAAGAACTTTGTGGAGAGGGAGAGGTACGTAGATGAAGACCGACCTCTGAATCAACTTCACAACTCAAAAATCTGACTAGGTAGGAAAAGCCGAGAGGACCTGGAAAGGAGAACTTTTCAACCTGACTCGTGAGGGGGGCCAGTTCAGCCACCAGATCAAACAGATCAAAACGATTATCTGTGCAAATAGGTCTCCAGTTTGTGCTGCTCTGAGAGAACACAGAACAAGGGATGACTAGACTGAGATGTAGTTTTACATACATACCTGCACGTCAGATACTTACGTCTACACACAAGCGGGTGGATGTTGGTAATATCCAAGAGAACGTTGGTGGGAGTAGTGCGCATAAACCCACATATCAAACGAACGCACGAGTACTGCAGGCGATCGAGGATGAAACTTTCTCGAGCACTAAGGGGGGGACACAACCTGGCATCCCCAGTCCAGCACGGACCTTACCAGGCCCTTGTAGGCTGTGGACATGACGCTGGGATAAGCACCCCACGTAATACCTGAAATGGCCTTCCATATGTTAATGCGAGATACCACTCGTCTCCTGACTTCAGACACATGTCGCTTCTACTTTAAAAAGTAGTCCAGCCAAACTCCAAAGAACCTGACTGACCACTCAAGTCGGATAGGAGTTCCATTTAACGAGATTTTAATTTTCTTGGACTTACTAAGTGATTTTGTGTTTTCCGAAGAGAGTTCAGGGCAAACAAGGTGGCCGTCGACTTCTCAGGAGACAGCCTGAGGCCGAGCTCTTCAAGATGAGAACTAAAATTGCTTAGTGATATGTTGAGCTGTTGAGAGACGTACTCGATGGAGGAATGAAAACAATAAACAGCGATGTCATCAGCATACATAAGTATGTTGACGAGAAGAGGAAGACAAGACTCCACAGTCGACACATACAGACTGAAGAGCAGCGGGCTAAGTACTGACCCCTGGAGTAAACCTCTAGAGGTTGACCTACTTTGTAGAAGCATCCCGGAAATATAACCCTCCAAGTTTCTAGACGAGATAACGAAGGATATAAAACCGAGGATCTTGTCTGGAAAGCCCAAAGCCGACAGCATGGAGAGCAGAGTAGAAGATATAACATTATCAAACGCGCCCTCAACATCCAGAAACACTTCTCCCATAACCTGCCGATTATTGTTAGCGATCTTGATTTGCGAGGTCAGAACTGTCAAATTGTCTATACACGACAGGCCTCTGCGGAAGCCAAACTGGAAGGAGGGAATGATGCTACCATTTTCAACCCACCACTCTATGCGCTTACACATTACTTTTTTCATGATTTTAAGGAGGTTGTTAGCCAAGGATATAGGTCGATAAGAGCCTTTCTTCCTCGGTTTAGGAATGAAAACTACGAAGTAGTCATTCCACTGTTCAGGATACCTTTTCCTGCTAAGCATGTCATTAAAAAGACTAAGAACGACCAAGTGAAGAGCTCGGGGAAAATGTGAAATAACGTTCTTAGATATTAAATCAGGGCCAGGAGCCGACTTGAGTTTAATTGAGCGGATGACAGCAAAATACTCCTCCAGGCTGATGGGAGCATCCATAAACGAGCTATCCAAAATGCTAGGGGGTTTATGGATGTTGGCCATTACATTAGTACAAGGTGGGGCCTCTACTCGAGTCAATGGAGCAATCTTATCGAAGGCTTTACAACACCCTTCGACGTCAACATTACTACGATTAGACTCATTGCGTTGGTAATTCCTTGCGTGTGAAAAGGCGCGAACCACAGAGTGTTTGCTCCACACAGAGCCAACATCAGAGTTGGCATGTAAAGAGCTGCAGAAAGTCTTGAAAGCCAAACGCTTTTTCCGGCGAAGAAAACGAGAAACCTCTCTAGACACCCGGATATACTCGTTTAAGTTACGCAGGTTCGGGTTGGCTTTGTAGGAGGAGAAGAGCAATCTTCTACGCCTCACCTCTTGTGAGGAAGAATCGTCCCACCACGGCGAAGGAAGCTTTCGGGTAGGATGCGACGAAGTGACCTTCCTAGCGCCAGACGTCTTAAGGGCTGAGATGATTTGACTTACGAATAGTGAATAAGTCTGCTCGACGTCTTGACCAGCAGCTCCAACACTAAAATTACTGGCACAGGAGGAGCACAGCTCCTGAAACATGTCCCAGTCAACACTTTTGGTGGAAATGTAGGGACGACAAGGAATCT